TCCGGAATACTCATACTTCACAATGTTGTTCATAGCTTGCCATGAACTGAATTTCAGGTCACCAATGCCTAGGATATCGATATTTATATATTCCATTTAATTTTTGACAACTTCCCATTTTCCTATATTCATACTTTGTGCCTTTCATGCTCTAATTATTAATGTCTTTTCATTTTGAGTCATGCCCCCTCAGCAAATGAAGGTCCTGAAAACTTTGCTTCATCAACACCATTAAGGTCAACTCAACTTTGACAACGTCACTCTTCTCCAGTCCTATTTTGAGTGCCTTTCAACCTGCAGGGCTCATCTTTTGGTGCTATATAAGACAGTGCTCTGCTTTATTTCATAAGGTTTTCAGGAGCTAACCATTCAGAAGTGATCTACCCTTCCTTCTTCCTACTCTGTTTTAGGCTGGAAGCTCTGCTAAAAGCTGTCTACCTTGGGTACCCTGCTGGTATTTAAAATATTGGTGACGTATGGGTTCCAGTATCACAGCGACATGAAAGCCACCATAATACAACACACCAACAGAGGTATCGATGCTATTAGGGGAGCAAATATAGGGAACATGCACAGACCAGAGCTACTTCACAGGAGGGACAGTCCCTCGATAGTGGTGATGCCTGAGTAGAGTCCTAGGACATATGAAGGAGTTACTCTCTGAAAGGAGAGGAGAAAAGTGTTCATCCAAGCAAAGCCTACACAAAGACACAATAAGAGGGATGTCAAATTCAGGAACTAGCAAGTAGTAAAGAACAAAGCTTCTATGGGAAACAATAATTCAGATAGAACATTCATATTATGTTTTTGATACCTCAAACCACTTTCACATCAATGGTTCATATAGTCAATGATCCACCAATATTAATGGAATTCCTACTATTAGCAAGGCAAGTTAATGGGTCCAACAGAGACTGTGGACAATATTTAGACATGAATTCTGTCATCAAGAAGGTCACAGAAGATAGAGATAACATGTGCCAATGAAGAAATGACCCAAAAGTTGCAAATAAATCACCATGGGAGATTAGAGGAGAGGCCATTTTCAGCTGAGACCATGATGTACTTTGGAGAAAACAGCACTTGACCTTTGGAGGACAGGTGATATTTGGCTGTGGATTTGTTGGGGGAGGACTGTGACATAGGAGTGGCCTGAGTAAAGACAGAAAAGAGACAGCACATGTGCTAGGAAAAAAGAATGAATCAAGGTTGAACTTGTCAAAATATGAATTTTATTCTTTCACCCATCAGTTCATTTATTTCCCCATGCAGCAAGTATTTGCTGAGTGGCATGTAAATAAGCAGTCAATTGCAAATGGCTTGGACTACCCAAAGCCCAGGATTTAATTGAAATCCTGAGCTTTGGGTGAAAAACCATCCTGGATACCAAGGTACAGTAATGAACAAGTAGTTCCTTGCCCCTATAAGGTTTACATTTAAATCAAGGAGTCATATGTTAAACACTAATTAAAACAACAACAAACAAATCGGTGACCACTGAGTCAATTCTAACTCATGGTGACCCAATGAATGCCAGAGTAGAACTGTATACCATAGGGTTTTCAATAACTGGTTTTTCAGAAGTAGATATCCAACATGTCCCTTGTTGTTAAGTGCCATTGCATCTGTTCCAACTCATAGCAACCCTGTATAGGGTTTCCAAGGAGTGACAGGTGAATTTGAACCATCATCCTTGGGCTGTAACTGTGTCTCTAGATGGATTTAAACTGCCAACCTTTTAGTTAATAGGTAACCACTTAACTGTTTGTAGCACCCAAACCCAAATCCAAACTTGTTGCCATTGAGTTGATTTTCACTCATTGCAGCCCTGTGTATTACAAACTAGCACTGCTCCATTGGGTCTTCTTTGTTGTAACTTTTATAGAGGCAGATCACCAGGCCTTTCTTCCATGGTGCTATTAGATGAGTTTGAACCACCAACCTTTAGGCAAAAAGTCAATTGCAAACTGCTTGGACCATCCAAAGCCAAGGATTTTAATGGTATAAAAAATGTTAATGCTATAATATTTAAAATAATGTTATAATTTTAAATTGTTATTAAAAAAGAGAGAGAAAATGACTGACATATTTATGCATGACAGTGCATAATCAATCAATGATTTCATATTAAATATCAAGCAGGGTTATTGAATGTGCCCCTGCAGGATAATGCACCAAACCACAAGGTCGGTAGTTCAAACCCACTAGCCACTCCTCAGAAACCCTATATAGTGTTGCTATGAGTCTGAATCAACTGGACAGCAATTAACAACAACAGGCAGTGAGGGATTCTGAGAGATAAGTGTGGAAAAAGTACAGTGATTCCTAAGGTCAAAGGACTTTGAATGCCAGGCTAAAGAGTTTGGAATGTATCTCTTACTTTTCCTGAAAAACAACTTTCAGTCTTAGTAGGTGTAGTCAGCAGATGGTAGAGTAGAAAGGCATGTACTTCAGATTCAGACAGACTTAGCTTTGAAACCTGGTACTTCCAGTCATAAACCATATGTATTACTTAACCTCTTTGAGCTTCAGTCTCCTTTCCTTAAATTGAGATGAGAATATTCCCAATGAAGTACTGGAACATTACCGAGCAAAGCAAAGCAATCAGGGGGTGGTGTTTTCCTTTCCATTGCCATTCATGAAAAAAAAAATGTTAGAGAAGTTTTATAAGTATCTTGGCTAGAATTGCCCAGATAGTAATTTAGTGGTATATGTAAACCCCGTCCACCAGACTCTGTGACTGTAAGATGTGATTACTAGAAGTTAGACTATCCCTGAGGGATCAGAAGTTGATCTGGAGTACTTAAAAATGTAGAAAGTTCCTTCCTTAGCAACACCTTTGAAGCTTATTCCCTATCAGTGAAAATTTGAGTTCTTTCCCAAACTTTTCTGTGCATCAGAGTTAACAGCAGGGTTAAAAAATACAGATTCCCAAGCTTTGTACTAGATATACTGAAATAGACTATCCAGAGATGGGATTAAAGAATACTTTAGATTGGTCCCAACTGTGTCTGATACTTACCCATGTTTGAGCATCACTGGCTTAGACCTGACCAGTGATTCTGACAATGTAGTCCTCAGACCAGCAGCGTAAACATCACGGAGATCTTGTTAGAAAGCAAAATTTCAAGTTCCACCCCATGACCTATGGAACCAAAACCTCCGGACAGGAAGTCCAGCCATGGTTTGGACAAGTCCTCCAGGTGATTTTGATGTGCTCTAAAGTCAAAGGACCGCTACTTGATGCTCTTTCAGGAGATTCTCTGTATACTGGGAGTCCCCGAGAGTCTACCATAGGAAGTTCTTGAGAAGGTTGGTGACAACACCAAAATCTGAAGGGGCTTAAGGGAATTATGGAACCCCAGTATCTGTAGAATAAGAGTTTGTTTGCTTATTTCATTGGACTTGATGCCAGAAACTTTGTTATGATATAGGATTGTGGCCCAGTCCTTCAGTGGAAACACCACAATGTAAGTTAGACAAAATGATCACTGTTACTTTGGACTGTGTGACCTCTGAAAAGAGATTTCACTCCTCTGGGCATCGGTTTCCTCAGATGCAACATTCAATATTATTACCCTGGCTGCAATTTTCTATAGCGCTGTCCACATGAACTGAGATTCATGTTGACAATTGGTATGATACCTGAGTGATCATGGTCTCTTCCCTGGGCCTTCTGGACTAGCATAAACTAAGACAAGGGGATGGTTAGGGACCTCAAGTCAACGGCTTCCTTCCTGGAGAGTTGGAACATCCTGAAGCAGTGCATGGGGGAATTCCAGGCCATCTGGATGTGAGAGAATTGCTGCTGTCTCCCCATATCACAGAGGCCTGCTTTCCGGAGATAGCATTAATGTCACTTAATAGCTCATTTTGACCTGGGAAGCTCTTCAGTGATCATGGAGGTGGGAGAGGGATGGTATTAATGCACAGACTCTATCCTTCTTTTCTCTCTGTCTCCATAGGAGATCTCCAGCTGCCAGTCAGCCACCTGTCTCCAGAGTCAACCTGCAAGGTAGGACAGGTCATGAGGGTCTATCTCAATATCTCAAAATAATGAATGTGTGTCTTGTTCAGAACCTTTTTATAGAATCATAGCATTTGTTTGTACAACCTGGCCCTCAAAGTTATACCTCTTGGTGACTCTTTGTCCAAAGCATAAAAAACAACAACATGTCACTCCATGTGAAACCAAATTAAAAGCAGTTTTAAAATAATATTCCCATCATATGCCCAGGCTTTCAGAATGTGATGAGTATGTGCTGCTTCCCAGAAGAGGAACAAGAGGCAAAACTGTATTGATAGCAAACCTTGACCTTAGCTTGCTGGCCCTGATGAACTCCAGGAGAACTAACCTCAAAGGCCACTGAGGTGCCCACCCCCTGGCCTGAGAGCCCAGCAGCAGGATATGTTAGTGTTTTTCCTCTTAGCGTCAACTACAGATCCCACTTGGATCAACATCCTTTCCAGGTGAGAAACCAAAGGCCAGGTCACAAATCATTGCTCTTGGAGGTCATCCAACTTTATTTCTCAAAGGTATTTTTTAAAGAAACCCATTCTCTCATCTTTCAGTACTGTGCATTTGCTTTTCCTATACAGTTCAAAGTTGCCAATGGAACAGCCACTTTGAAGAAACACTGTGGAGATGTGTTGAATATAAATTCTTCTTTAACATACAATGCGACTGGCTAGATGACATTTTTATAAGTCCAAAATGGAGTTGTTTCCCTTGAATCTGTCCTCACTATTGTAGCAGTGGAGATGATTAAAACCACAGAAAAAAACAACGAACATAAACTCATACTGAGATCACTTAACACCTAATATCACTTTCTTGTATACTTTTCTATTTCCAGCTGTACCATTTCTTTTGTTTTATAGTTACGGTCTTCCTTTTTATGGTGGTTCTCTGGCTACTTTCGTGTCCATAAGCATAACGGAAATATTACAAAAGCCCAACTCCTAAGAAAAAGGAACAAAGGCAGTAGATTCCATTGGCTCATTAGCTTCTGAAGTATTTACGGCACATGCTTTTAAAAATATTTTTGTGTGAGAAAGATTGAAAGCAAGAATAAAAGTGAGAGGAAGATATTAAGTAAAGATGAGTTTACCTCTAGGTCCCTATGCTAGGAAATAGAAAACAAGTAAATTGTACTCTGTCAGCAGACTTCAAAAGCTTGGAATGTGGGATGTACTATTTTCTTTCAAAGTTTTAGAGGAAGAAGCTAAATAGAATGTTTTAACATGTAACTAGGATTATATACTTGGAGATCAAAGGAGGTGGTTTTGAAACTCCTATCACTGTGTTTTAAACTCACCAGCCACTGCTTGGAAGCCCTATACAGGGTGGCTATGAGTCGGAACCGGCTCAGCAGCACTTAACAACAACAACAACAACTGTGTCATACTGGCCTACCAGAGACACTTGTTTTTCACATTTCTGCACATCACATATTTTTGACATCAATTTGAATAAATTGTTTTCTTTTTCTTGTAATGAGTACTGGCAAACATTAGGAAAGTAGGTGATATTTATGGTACTATAAATTAACTCATTAGCCAATGATTCTGTTGGAAAGATCATTCTGGGGTTATTGGCACAGTAACTCTATCTTGGCAACTGTAGTCTTTTGCTAAATTCTTTTTTAAAACAATGGAGCAAAAGCAATGACAATACCACTTAGGCAATTTGTTTTTGTCTGTCTTTGTGGCAACCTACAAAAATCCTGGTGTTTCATTGGGAAGAAAATGTAGCGATACCAATTATTACGTAATTACAGGTTTCAAAATCTTCTTAGCGTTTAACCACAGTCAGAAAAGGAAGGGGGAGACACACATCCTGTGTTTTGTTCTTATTATCAGCTTAAATAAGTCAGGCAGATTTTTCCTGTTATTTTAATATTTATCAGCATATGACAAAGAGGTGTGTTTAAATAGACACTTTAAAGGGGAATGAAAAATCAGTGGCTTAGAGGATAATGAAATTTGAGAGGTGGAGAGCTGCTTTAAAATACAGCTTTTCATAAAAATAAGATCGGGTTTTCATTTGTGAATAGAGCAGTTGAGCTCATCTGTCTCAGTTGAAAGCCAAGATAAAAGATTCAAGAAGGCTCTAATAATTTAAACAGATATAGCAACATGCTGGTTTGTTAGGTAAGCACACCTGGAATAGACAACTATGTTGTGTAGAAGTGAGTTTGAGAGGAGGGAAAATGACAAGTCTTTTTAAAAGTTTTTTGGGGTTTTTAACGCATCTAAGTCAGGGGTGTAGCACTGAAGATTAATGCCCTGGACTGCAAGTTTGGTTTGAACTGCAACGTTGGAGGTCCAAGCTTACCAGCCTCCTCAGAAACCCTATGCAGGCTCACATCGAGTTGGAATTTACTCAATGACACTTAATAACAGCAACAAAATCAAAAGTGGGGAACCTTTTATCTGCCAAAATGTATAACATTGTTTGTAGACCATGAGAAATTATCAACTTAAAAATTAGCCTGCTATATTTGGTCCTGGTGTGGTGTTGTGGGTTAATGTGCTAGACTGCAAGCTTGGTTTGAACTACAAGGCTGGCAGTTCAAGTTAACCAGCCGGTCCTTGGAAACCCTATACAGGAAGGGCACTTATCAATACTTGGTAAAACATATAATTAACTCATTCCTCAGATTCACGAGCTTCTCCCTGGAAACCCTATATAGGGTAGCTACAGTTGGAACCCACTCTATGGCACTTAACAACAACAACAATGTGATGGCTGGAACTGTGGTTGCCTTCACTGGGCCAGACCAAATGATTTCTTGGGCCTTATACTTACTGAGGAGATCTAGTAGCATAGTGGTTACGAGTCGGGCTGCTAATCTCACGGTCAGCAGTTCAAGACTACCATGGGTTCTGCAGGAGACAGATGAGGCTTTCTGCTCTGTACCAAAGTCAGAGTTGACTCCATGGCATATAACCACCACTACCAATACACAGCCCAAAAGAAGATGAAGAAAACACAGTTCATTTAAAAACTTAATTGTAGAAGCCGTGACAAATTGGTGCAGTTAGTCTAAGAAAATGATTATGAATGGAAAGAAATCAAAATAAATCCCTCCGTATCTTTCTTCCCTTGGTTTACTCAAGGTTAAGGAATGCTAGGAGCATAGTGGATTCTGAGCTGGGTTACTGACTGCAAAATCAGTAGTTCAAATCTACCATTCACTCTATGAGAGAAAGATGAGACTTTCTGTTCCCTTAGGATTTATAGCCTACATAGGTTCTCTTGAGTAGAAACCTACTTGCTGGCACACAACCACCACCACCACCCACCACTCAAGGATATTCTTCTCGCCTCTCAGGGTTCACCACAAATTTCTTTCATTTGAGAAACTGTCTAAAACATTTCTTAATTAGCCAGCATGTCATGTTAAATGCTGTCAAGTCGATTTCAACGCAGACATCCCATGTGACAGAGTAGAACTGGCGGTAATCCTCACGGGAACATATTACCAGATTTTTCTCAAATTTAGGCACTCTGGTGGCACTGTGGGATTAACAATGGACAGCTAACCACAAGGTCAGCAGTTCTAACTCACCAGTTGCTCTGTGGAAGAAAAATGAGGCTGTCTGCTCCCTTAAGGATCACTATGAATCCGAATTGAGTTGATGGTAGTGAGTTGTTGTTGTTGCTTTTCCCCCTGAACTTGCTTGCTCCTTTTTCTGTGCTATGACAACAATTTCATTCTAGGATAAAGTGCCATGAATGGACTGTGTGTCTCCTTTATGAGAGTGTAAGTAAATACCTGGAAGCCAGAAGCTGTACCTTATCCATCTCTTGATTATTCATGGCACTTAGTATACTTATTTTCATGGAAAACAGTAAATATTGACTTGACCCAAAGAACTATATTTATACATTGACCTTAAGTTTTAATAATAAGCTAGTATTTGTTTTCTATATGGCTATGAAGGTATTATTCAATTGTGCTTATTTATTATTATAAAATTCTAACTATCGCACTGAAAGTAAGAGGGAGTTGAAACACGTTCTATAACTGCTCACATATGTTAGTGTGTTCACACAGGTTTTGAGCAAAAATAAGTAAATTTTAAAAATTACCATTTTGTGCTTTGAATACAAACAAAAATTCAACAGAATAAGGTGGTTGAAAATTTAAAACCCAGATGGAAGAAGAGTGTGGAAGTACATGATCCTAGATTGGAAGAGAAGAGAAGAATGCCATAAATCTTCCTGAGAGTGCTGATAATGACTATGCTGTGGAGTTTAATGAACACCTGGATTTTTATCATATTTTGCCTTTTCACATGCATTCATTCCAGGTTTTCTCTGCATGGTGCTCAAGGATTGAAACAGAAAGAAAATATAGGAGAAAGAATACTCCCAAACAAGGCAGGAACTTGGCTTCTACTATCCTATAAACATTTAAAATGGAAATAATTTTCAAGATTTCAGAATGTCGCGTTATTTTCAACAGAAATGGCCAGATAACTGAGGAAAATCAGTATGTGTGTATAGGATAATTGCCCCATTTTCCCCACCACAACCCATTCCTTGCTTTTGCAAGAATTTCAATAGTGATTACACCATGTTTTGAAATTAAGAATTTGCTGAAAAGGTAAATTATCAAATGTTTATTCCCTTTACAAAATGATTATTTATTTGCCTTACAGAGAGAACTAGAGAAGTATTTAATAGTCAGTGCTTTTGATTCATATAAATGTGACTTGATTTGTAATAATATGTGTCAGAGAAAAAACATCAATCAACAGTCAAGTCGATGTGTAAACTGAGACACAGCTATGCTAATTTTGTTGTTAGCATTTACCATGAAATGTATTGAGCAGCAACATTACAACTAGATCATATGTTCTATGAACAAGTCAGAGTCTATGGGTGGAAATGACTGTAAAGCATGTCAGAAAGATGACTAAAGCATTCCCTTGCTGACTTCATGTTAGACTGCTGCAGACTCAAAGTTGACCTCAGCCTAGGCATACACAGTCTTGGTATATGGA